GGCTCCTGCCCTGTACCTATGCCACCTCCCCAGCCTATTCACCCTCTGCCTTTCAGATCCATTCTGCCAAGCAAGTTTTTATTCAAAGCCTCCCCTCCTCAATTAAACTTTCACCATTCCCCTAAGTTAAACTTAGCCTCTCCTTTTTGGGCCATTCTTTTTTTTTTTTTTTTTTTTGAGACAGAGCCTCAAGCTATCGCCCTGGGTAGAGGGCTGTGGCGTCACAGCTCACAGCAACCTCCAACTTCTGGGCTAAAGCGATTCTCCTGCCTCTGTCTCCCAAGTAGCTGGGACTATAGCAGGCCCAGGCCGGGTTTGAACCTGCTAGCCTCAGTGTATGCGGCCGGTGCCCTACCCACTGAGCTACCTCCATCACTATTTTTATATAGAGAAAATCCCAAATGTTATTCTCATAAACATAGTGATTCATAGTACTGTAACTCTGGCTTCCAACTAAAAGGTTATTCCCTGAAAGTTTGAAAAGGCAGAAGCTGACTGCAAAAGTAGAGAGAACTGCTGATATTTATAAGTAATTCAAATACAAGGAGTCCCTCTCTAGACCTCTCAAGGGCCTGGACAGCCAAGCAGGTCTGTCTCAGGGGCACTCTGGCCAGTCACCCCGGGACCAGAAGAGCAGGAAGCCAGTCAGCTCTGGCCTGATGAACAGGACGGGCGTCTGGAGTCTAAAATCCCCTTATTCAGCAGTTGGCACTGTAAAGGCAAATGAGGATGACCTAATGTTGTTTAAGTTCCTTTTCACCTAGAGGATCCTTCCTAATCTATTTCAAAGCAAGCTGCAGTTTCCACCCGTCTGGCGGAAGAGGGGCGGGGGAGGAGAGGACATGCAGTATGGACAGGAGTCCTGAGTTCTGACCCCAAGAACTCAGAAGCTCTCTATAAATGTGCTTGCTGAGTCTGTCACCACACAATCAAATGCAAGGAATTATTATTAATGTCAGCCAAGTGTTGGGATCTAGGCAAAGAGGTTCCAAAGACCTGGAGTAACAAAAACACCTGCAGTCTCTTTGGGCCTTTTTGGGCCTAGGAAATGCGGGTTTGAATAAAGGCTCTTAGGTTTGCTTCCCAAGGAATCATCCTCCCTAAAGAGGTACACCTAAGTCTGTTGGACCAGAAAGGACTTAAAAGGCACTTGGTAAGGTGTGCTGGGCAGTTTTAAAGGCTGTTCATATGTTAACCTAATTAATCCTAACAACAGTTTGATGAGGGAGGGGGTATTACACGCTCCCTCATCAGGGATGCAGGAAACAAGGCACAGAGAGGCTAAAGAACTTTTTCCAGGTCACACAAATAGTGGCAAAGCTTGGATTCAAACCAGAACACTGTGGCTCAGAAACAGACCTTCATAAAATAGAATCAGCTGCATTACACCCTCCCTGCCCCCACCCTGTGCAAGGCAGGAACACTGTGCACTGGCTCAGACAGCTACCTGGAGCGGAAAAGCTGCCCTCCTCGGCCCACTCCTGAGCCTCCTCAGGGACCGCCACCTGCTGATCCCTTTCCCTTCTACATTTTTAGCTTCATCTCTTCCTTGGTCCCCTCGCCTGCACCTGCCTATAAATGCTGTTTCAATTTTATCCATGAGCTCTCCCTACCTGCATTAAAGGATCCCCAGCTTCTCTCCAGGATCACTACCTCCAACTAGTCTCCCGACAGCCTCAGGGGCTTAAAAGGAAACCAGGCTTTCCTCTGAATCCCCCTCCATTGCCTCCTCTCTTCTACAGAATTTACTGTGAAAACCTCAAGCACCTTTCAAACCCACCACCCACAGCTGATCCATCGCCCACTTCCAGGAAAGCCCCTTCTCCTCTCCTCCAGACTGGGGCAATGTCTCCTATGTATGGCTGCCACTTGCCTCTTCCAAAATGGGGCTCCAATGATTTCTGGTGCTGAGAAGCCTACGATCCATCCTTCTCGCTGCCTGGGAGACAAGCTCCGGATATCTCACTCTGTCTCTGTCCACTCTTCTTCCCAAGATGTTCTAAGCCTGTCACTTTAACCTCCTCCCACCTTTCCCTGCCTCTGGTCTGCTTGCCTCTGCACTGGTCATGCCCTAGGATCAAGCAGAATTTATATTTATGAGAATCTCAAAGTTACGATGTTGGGAGAGATGGCCAGAGTGTTTTCTCACTTTTGTCTCAACTCTTTTGTAAGACTATAAAATCTTAAAGGGCAGAGCCCAGGGGTAATACTTTCCTTGAAGTTCCCTACTATACCACACTCACTGATCATCCATTTAGAACTCATCAAAACTCACCATGAGTTGAGAGAGTTTGCCTGGATTAAAAGAAGTTCAGAAATGAGAACTGCTGATTGTTTTGGCTTCTACTCAGAATCAAGTAGTTAGTTACAAGGCTAGAGAGTTTCTATTTTTAAAAGCTAGGTCATATGGGTATTTTGCAAACATGTTCTAGCATTTAATTATTGGGTATATGACTGGTACAAAAGATTCTTTCACCTTTAGTAAGAACAGGTCGAGTAAGGTTTGGGGGCTGGGCAACAGTGGCTCATACCTGGAATCCTAGCACTCTGGGAGGCTGAGGCAGGTGGATTGCTTAAGCTCACAGGTTCAAGACCAGTCTGAGCCAGAGCAAGACCTTGTCTCTAAAAATAGCTGGGCATTGTGGCTGTTG